TGGGATATGGATTTGGTAATCCAATCCTAGAATCCAGATCAAATGTTGTTTTGTGGGTATTTCAGAACTCTAAAGATGGAGATTAGGATAGTTTTGATGCTAAAATCCTGATCCCACTGTAATAGGTGGATCCAGCATGTAAGGTTATTAACTAAAACTAAAGTAAAACCTGAAACAAGGTGTGAAAAAAAATGTTAGTTCACTGAAATAAAAACAAAAACTAGGCAAAATGTTATCTTGTACTACTGTCAAACCAGATGAATCCATCACATAGAACATTTTAAGTAAAACCCATTCTTGATCAAGTAGTTTTAGTCATTTTAAGGTGACACTGATTTAATGTTGTACATTTTATTTGTATTATGAAAATAAAATAGCTAGTAAAAAGTACTTAATTAGGAATGTTTTATGAACTGCAATGATTTTATCTCTATCTTGTTGTCTGTGTTTTGTATTTTGTTGTTTGTATGTTAATATAGACCTATGTGTCTGAAATAAAGTTACATTTAATTGAATTAATGTGCAACTTCACCACTAGATGCTATTAAATCTTAAACATTGGCCCTTTAAAAAGATCCTTTTCCCACTTTAAGCAACGCAGTCTCATCGGAACACGTTGTTTTCTGCTTTATTACAATCTGTCCATCACGTTTATCAGAATAATAAGACGAGCAGTCAGACTTTTAAACAAACCACATCTATACTTGTTTTTTACTTCGAAACGTTGATGTAGTTTGTGTGTTTGTGTTTTATCGCAGGGAGACGTGGGCCTTGCGATGGGAAAACTGTACGGGAACGATTTCAGCCAGACCACGATCTCTCGCTTCGAGGCTCTCAACCTCAGCTTCAAGAACATGTGCAAGCTCAAACCTCTGCTGGAGAAATGGCTGAGTGACGCAGGTATGACACAGTTTCAAAAATGTGGATGTGGATTTAAAGATTAAATAACTAAATAACTAAATAACTCTGGAAGGAAATTATTGCTGCTCCAATAATAGATATTGTAAACATTTTGAATGTGATATTCCTGTAGTGTCTGGTTAAGGTGCAGCTAAAGCCACTTTCAAAAGAGTAACAGTAAGATTTGAGAAGATCGATATCATGCTCATGTCTGAATCCTAAATATAAAGCTTCACTGTAAAAAAGGTAGTCATACTACTGTCTTCGCTCAATTCTTTACGTTTTAAGTCAAACTTTTAAGTTTTGAAACACATTTTAAAAAGTTTTGCTGACCTCTGATCTTTTGTTGAAATCATTTTCTTTTATTTGTTTTAAAAACAGAAAATTTCTGTATTTTAAAATGACTTAATTAACTGTTTAATCTCTTATGTGTTGGAATATTTCTTCCTTGAATCTTTTTATCAGCATTTTTCCAGAAATATTGAACTATTTCTTTAGAATTGACAGAAAGCTTGTGATTATGTTTAAAAGGCATATTATGCTCAATATGAGCTGTAATATCTTATTGAGACAAAGATATATTTTCTTAAAACCAGATACATTTTATAATGCAAAATATGCTTGACAAGATTATTTTTCTTTTTAGACAAAAATAATTGGAATAATTTCCCAGAAAAAAGTATTTTTTTTACTTGAGAGTGTACTGAAGTTCTCTATACATCCATGCTCAGTACCTGTGAGTATCAGCCCATTTCAGGCACCAAATATAATGAATGTTATGTTTGCGTTTACAATAGAAAACTCACCTTCTGACCCGATGAACAACCCTACCTCTCTGCCGCCCCTGATTGAGGGCTACGGACGCAAACGGAAAAAGAGGACAAGCATCGAAACGAACATCAAGATGACTCTGGAGAAACGTTTCCACGATGTGAGTTCAAGACTGGATCGATATTTAACGAGTTCTCGTAGCCTGTTCTGCTTTCATAGAATTTATCGTGTAGTGAAAATAAGTATAAGCAAATTATTACATATTATGATTTTATAAAAAGCAACATCCAGGAAGTGTTGCTTCATATTCCCACGCTACGTTTAAAGGAAGAAATCATGAACATTTTTGGTTTTCAGAACCCCAAGCCCAACTCTGAGGAGATAACCCTGATCTCAGAGCAGCTGTCCATGGAGAAGGAGGTGGTTCGAGTTTGGTTCTGTAATCGGCGTCAGAAGGAGAAGAGGATCTACTGCCCGGTGTCAAATTTATCCGTCAAATCGCACAGCTACAACTCCAGAATGGTTAGCTGTCTCTTTTTACCTTGAAATGTTGTTGTTTTTTAATAGTGGCAGGTTCAAAAGATCAATATCACTCTTGTGTTTTTGTGTTACGTCCAAAGTTGGAGTCAGGATGTTGTTAGCCTAGCTTAGCATAAAGACTGGAATCATGGGGGAAGATTCCTTGGACAATAAGCCCATTTTTGGTGGTGAACAGAAGTTTATGAAACTTACAGGTTTTGTTTAAGATAATCTTCACCAATGAACTCTACTTTTATGATTTTTGAAGCGTAAATGCGATCGCCAGAAGTAAAAAGCGAACTGCACCACCACTAAACTGCCAACTTGTGATTGAATCTTGTCATTAAAACCTACAAGTTGTGAGTTAGAAGAGTTTGCAAGAGTGCGAGTATAAACACAACAATGCTGTGAAGGTGGACGTTTAATGTCAACGACAACCTCTGTAGTCTCATTTAGTCGCTTGTTTAGCCACAAACCACCTTTTGTAAGACACATAAAAAGTTAAAGAATTCACAGGTGGGTCATTTACTGATGTATTTTATGTTGTAGAACAAAAATCTAACGAACAACCCATTAAATAAACCCACTGACATTGATCAGAGGAGCTAAAATTTTAACTCATTTCCAGGTTTTAGGACTATATTGTTGTAGCTTGAAGCACCTTCAAGAAACTTTTTCTGTTGATTCTGGCGACCCCTGTGGAAAGTGGTTGTGTTCCCGCCGTCTCTTTGTCTGATTTCAAGGAGAATCCGACCCGGTGGCACACATTAAGAATAACTACCGGTATATAGTAATATCCAATCTGATGTAGCTCATATGGAGGCGTCAGTATTAAACTGAGGCTGTTTCATAACCAGTTAAAAACTCCTTGCAGTACTTTAACTGCTTTCAGTGAAGTGTAACTTGTACCCTGACCATAGCTCCATATTTAACACACAAACATGGTCTGGAAAGAGACCATTAATTTAAAAAAGCTTCTGCAGGTTTTGCAAAGTTCAGTAAAGGTTCTCGTACCCTGAAACCATCCTCAGGCTTCTGAAACAAATAACTCTCATCGACCCTAACACTGATGGAAACACCTTTTTCCCTTGAGCACAGTTGATATTGAAATCAGACAGTTTCGGTTGGCATTGTGATACACTAAATATGGAAATTGTTGGTTATAAAGCAAATATATGTTACAGTTCTAATGCCAAGTTGGCTTCTTCTCATCTATTTTCTCACCGTTTCAGGCGTCAGTATCCAGATCCTACAGCCCTCTGGCTTCAGGCGGAGGCAAGTACAGTTTCTACATTCAACTACTGATTACGAGCCTCTCAGTACACTCTATTGTGACAAACACTGAGGATAGAAGTATGTTCATATTCAGTAATGTTTTGACCTTTTCCTTCCAGTTTCATCAAATTCCTCTCCGAACAGCGCAAGCCGCGAAGCTTCTCCAAACAGTCTGTCTGCTGTCTCCGCCTCTTTAACGTCTCAGGTCAACCAGGCTTCCTACAGCACACCAGGGTAAGAAACATCAACCTGAACACCCCTTGTTCACACACTGTAAAGATACGAGAACATGGAGCTCTGAAAATGTGTCAGCTGGTTATTAAAGGAACACTTTAATATTGTGTATTGGATCCTGTTTGTGGCCCACAGAGCATGCTCAGTAGAGTCCTTCTGGCCAAATTCCTGTCAGCTACCCACACACATAATAAAATAATGTAATCATACAGCTTTAATAGACTTCCCACATGTTATTGGAACCAAATGGATCAGATTCTGATCATAAAGGTGCTTTTATGGCCACTCCACATGGCTGCATGGTTGCAACCGTCGGTTCCAGCCAGCGCCGTGTTTTACATATGATAGGATACCGCTCTCTCTGTCCAATAAAGGCAAGAAAACTGCCCCCCAAAGATCTTTAAAAGGTCTTTTCGGGGGGTTTATGACCGATTTAGAGGTGCTCCTTTTTAAAAAATAATATTTTTTGTGTGCGTCACATGATGAATGTTAAAGATGCAATATTTGACAATACCAATCCTGGGGCTCTTAGTATGGACCATTGACAGTATATATGGTGGACAAAGCTTCCTGGTTTGTGAAGTTAAGTGTCTTAAACATGCAATCTATACTTCTATATAATGGCCAGCAGGGGGCAGATACCACACAGTGTTATGGAGAAATTACCTGACGTCTTACTTGATTTATTAGCTCAGTAAACAGTTCTCTCATGTCTTAAAGCTAAATATAAAGCTACAACCATGAGACAGATAGCTTAGCTTAGCATAACATAAAGACTGGAATCAGTGGGAAACTGCTAGCCTAGCAAAATCTGCCTACCAGCACCTCTTACTAACTAGCATTTGTGTCTTTTATTCATATGTGTTATTTATTATATTTATTTGCAAGAAACTAAATCTCCCATTTATTTAAAATAATTAACAAAATGTAATTGCTTGAATAAAGTTTCATGTATAAAGTGTTTAATCCTGTGATCCTCTCTTTCAGGACCTGGTACCGCGCATGGAACCCGGCTGCATATCATCACTGAGAAACACGAACTGTATCATATGAAGCTTCTCAAGATTGTTTTTGTTTGACACTGAAGACGTGACGCAGTAACACAATATGAGGCTATAAAACCTTAGACGGACCCATAAGACAAAGCAAGCAGCACGAGCAGAGGACTGGAGTCCCGACGGCCTCCAGCTGTTTGATTTGTGTTTGTGTGACTCTTTAGTCTGCGTACGTCAGCTGCAGAGACGAAGAACACACAGAAAAATACACACATGCAAAAAAACAACAAAAAAAGCACAGGTGATGACAGATGAAGACTCAATTAACCTTTTTGAATGTTGAAGGATTCACTGAGATTGTGAACCGAGATGTTCTTTACGCCATCTTCACACGGGGCTGCGACTATCTCAGTTGTTGCTGTTTATTATGTGTTTCTATGTTCATATTATAGTTTGTGTTTGTGTTGCCGAATTTGACGCAATCCTAACATTGCATACTGCTAGCCTGTCTATATGAATACCAGTTTAAAAAAGTTTGGACACACTTTCCCATTCACTTCAATGAGACAGCGCGTCCAACAGTTTGCACACTTGATGCTGATGAAGCAGATTAGCTTTTGGTTGTTGTTGTTTTGTTTTTTTCATGTTAAACTTACTAAATAATAACTAAGGATGTGTTTTTTTCTGAACTTAAACTTTGATTGTTGCTTATTTAGTCAATAATTTATAGAAATACTTAGATAGATTTTAAACCTTTAAACCTTCTGAAGCTTTAAACAAACATTTAGTGAACCAGGAAGTAGTTCGTATGACGTGTCGTACGACTGCCTCTAAAGTCAAAACTGTTTATAGCTCTTCTGAATGGCTGCATACGACTGCCCCCCAGACCTCCCTCCAAGAATAACTTTTGTATGACTTTATAGTTTCGGTGTGATGAATTGTAAAAATATGCAAACATTTTGGTGCAAACTTTTGGACAGTCTCTCCTCGAAGGCAATCATGTGATGCTCATTTGTACACACAAGAAGTGGGTTTGCGCCCCGTTCACACATACAAAAACTAGAGGAACCTGCAACCTGGAGGTCCAACCTTTTCCAGTCTTAAAGGTCCAGTGTGTAGCTGCTTCAAAAACACCTTGGCGAAGAAAATTTATTTAAGCTACGTAATTCCCTCATAGTCCAACATCTAGCTAGCTAGTTAATTTATTTACCGGCATAGTAAATGTTATCAAATCAGAAAGAAAGTGGTAAAACAGCCCAAAAGAAAATGTTTCTCGCAATGCATTTAAGATCTATAGTCAGAAATGTAATATAATATTCATAAATATATTTTCATTAGTGTATAATCACCTGAAAATAGGAATTGTTGTGTTTTTGTTACCTTAGAATTAGTTTTTATCTACAGAGGGCGCCAGTCCTCTTTTAGTACCTCCATATTTCTACAGTAGCCCAGA